GGGGGGGGGGGAGGGAGAGGGGGTTTGCATTGCATTGTGACCGACTGACTTCTCACGTGTGTATGTAGAGAGACAGACAGATCGACGCACTCACTTACTCACTTCGCACGGACACGACTTACTTAGTGAAATGTGCCATTTGCTTGTGCCATTTGCTGTAGATCTGGGTGTCTGGCTGTGTTGTTCTCTTGCTAATATTTCTCGACATTTTGCTTTGTTTGGATGCGTCCCACTAATGTGGCTGGACGGATTGATTTCGGTGCTATGCGTGGCTGCGCAGGAGTTCATGTCTCCCTCTCTCCCTCCCTCCATCCCTCTGTCTGTGTCTCTCTCTGCTACGTGGGTGCAGGCAGTGATCGGGGCCGATTGCTGCTTACATTTTATATCCAGATGTCTGTTGACTTTGTTGCCCCGCTGATCGAGTGTGTTAGCATTCACACAACGACACGGTGTGTGGCCATCTGGCAGTGCCGTGTCTTTCGGCTCAACACAAGGCACTCGCTGCAGCAGTGCTGCTACTTACAAGTGTGTTGATATGTCTGTCAAAGTTGCTGTCTGCTTACAAGTGTGTTGGTCAGGCTTGAGCTTACATGGAGACAGACTGATGAAGACATACCTACAAAGCCATGCATGGTGGCAAGAGAGAGGTTCCCATGAAGTTGCGCGCAGCTTGTAGGCATCACATCACATATGGTACACGACTCTACATATCGACCACTAGCTGTGGGTCGATGAATGAATGAATTAATGAGTTAGCCAGACAAAAAGACACACACCGACCGCACACCACACACACGGAGACACAGACAGCCCAGACAGACCGGTCGACAAGCCGATCGATGTCGTTTCTCGCTCGTCCGTATCGTCTCATCCTGCAAGCTTGCAACGCGTTGCGTACTTCTATACGCGAGACGTTGCTTGCTTGCAGGCACGGACGCGTGTGTGCGCGTGGAGGGAGCTATGTAGTATCCACAGGTGGTACTCTTCACACAATTGTACACATCACAGGACAGCACAGGACAGGACAGGACAGGCAGCAGAGAGACACACAGACAGACACAGGACGACCGACTGACTCCCACTGCAATCAAACAGTATACAACACACACGAGACGACGATGGATAGATGGATGGACATGTCAGTCAGTCGTCGCACACGTGCACACACATGCGCAGTGAGTGCATATGATATATATGTCTGTCGTTGATACGCATACGCATCCGCCGCATCCGAGCATGATCAACGTACGTGGGCAACTTCACACATCCATCCATCCATCCATCCCCCCATCCAGATCACATCCGCACGTTCCTTCAGGCATCAATAGAAACCCTTCACACGCAGATTCTGCGGGTCGAAAGGCGTCTTAGTCGACACAGAAACGGGCAGCATGCTGACAAACACACGCACACACACGCACACACCCACTCACAGACAGTGACACGACACGAGTGTGTATGTTATGTGTCCGCTCCGCACCTGCCCATGATTTCAAGCTCGTATTTGCCGTCCTTGATCCAGTCAGAGCTGACCACTCCCCCGTTGCTCGCGTGGACGTACCCCACGCCCAGCGGACGGCCGAGGGAATAGGCATAACACGCCCGCCTGCACTCCACATACAATACAATACACGTAAGTCTCTTGTGTTTTGTGCTCTCTCTAACTCTATCTCGGTGTGTGTGGGGGCGTGGCGTCATGACCTGAGGTAGCCGACGCATTCGCCGTCCCTGTAGAGCGACTCCAGGCCGAAGATCGCCGGCGCAGAGGGGTCCTGTGTGTGCGTAGATCGTAGATTGTGACCACACCCATACTGCGTGTTGCGTCTCTCTCTCTCTCTCTCTCTGTGTGTGTGTGTGTGTGTGTGTCGGACTTTGAGCGGGTCGCTCTCAGGCAGATGGACATAGACAAGTCGCTTGCCTGTGGGTGGGTGGAGGTGGGTGGACACACAGGACAGGAGGGCATACATACGTACGTATGTGTGCAGGTCAGGTGTGACGTACGTATGCCTTCTTTCTTCTGCCGCTCGAGCGCTTCCCGGCCAATGAAGGGCTGGGTCGTCTGCACGTGTGGACGGACGGATGCACATACATGGATGGATGGATGCCTGTGCATTGTGGTGTTGTGTGGGCGTTGTGTGTGTGTGTGTGGGGGGGGGGGGG